CCGAGGTGCCACCGCCCCGTCCCCGCTGTCCCCCCCGAGGTGCCACCCCCCGTGTCCCCGCTGTCCCCTCACCATGCCGGTGTGTCCCAGCAGCCAGTTGCGCCAAGGCGGGAGGGGGAACCTGTTCAGCTGGCGACAAGTGGCCCGGAAGCGGGCGACGGCCACCGCCGCGTCCCAAAGCCAGCGCAGCAGCAGCGACAGCGCCAGGGTGCCCAGGGTGCCCAGGGCCACCGCGCCCAGGGGACCCATCGCCGCGGCCACCGCCATGGCAGCGCCGTGGGGACACCCGGGGCAAGGGTCGGGCCGTGGGCGGTGGCACCCGCGGGGTCACATGGCCCCGACGGGGGTGGCACCGGCCGCGCCCCGGTGGCAGCGTCGCCTGCTGTGGGTCCCGGTGGCGGCGTCACCCCACGAGAATGGTGGCAGCGTCCCCCCATGTGTGGTGGCATCGTCCCCTGACGAGTGTCCTGGTGGCAGTGTCCTCTCGTCTGTCCTGGTGGCATTGTCCCCTGATAAGTGTGCTGTCCCCTCCGCTGAGGGTCACCGTCTCCCCCCTCCCGTGTGTCACTGTCCCCCCCCCCTGTGTACCCTCTCCCCCCCCCCCGTGTGTCACTGTCCCCTCCCCGTGTGTCCCCGTCCCCCCGCCCCCAGAGGGGACAAAGTCCCCGAGGTCCCGACACCGGGGACGTGTCCCGCAGGATATTCCCGTGTCGCGCGTCCTGCAGGATATCCCTGTGTCGCGTCCCGTAGGACATTCCCGTGTCCCGCAGGATGTTCCCGTGGTTGCTCCTGGTGCTGAGCCTCTGCGCCCGCCCCGGCACAGGTAGGAACGTCACAACATGCCACAGCACCCACAGCACCCCATGGCACCCCACAACATGCCACAGCACCCCACAGCACCCCACGGCACCCCACAGCACCCCATGACATCCCACAACACCCACGGCACCCCATGACACCCCACAACACCCCACAACATGCCACAGCACCCACAGCACCCTAGAGGACCCACAGCACTCCATGACACCCCACAACTCCCCACAACACCCCATAACATGCCACAACATGCCACAGCACCCCATGACACACCTCAACACACCTTAACACAACACCCCACAGCACCCCGTGTCACCCCTATTTGAGTCCCTTCCCTCTGGTTTTGGGTCTTTCCCCCCTGGTTTTTTGGGCCCCTTTCCCCTCGTTTTAGGTCTTTTCCCCATGGTTCGGGTCCCTTTCCCCCGGTTTTGGCTCCTTTCCCCCTATTTCTGGCGCACTCCCCCCACCCCAACCCCCCTCCCTTCCCTTCCCCGTGCCCCCCCCTGCCCTGCCCGGGCTGTCCCCGCAGGTCTCCCCCCTCGCCACATGGACTCGCTGGTTCAGATCCTGGACGCGCTGGAATCCCCGGCCCGGGGGGGCTCCCCGGGCTCCGTCCCGGCCCTGGCGCGGGCCCTGGGGGTCTGCAGCACCCCGGGGTGCCGCGCCGTGCTGGGAGAGCCCCCCGAGCCCCCCCCCGGACCTCCCCGCGGCGCTGCCCCCCGAGCAGTGGCAGCTCCTCCGGGAGCTCCTCCGGGCCGAGCCCCCCGAGCGCCGGGCCGTGCTGGCCCCCGACGGCTCCACGGTGGCCCTCGGCCCCCTCCTCGCCGGCATCGAGGCGGGTCTCCGGCTCGGGGGGGGGCTCGGAGGGCCCTTGGGACCCCCTGCCCACCCTCCGGCCGCCCCTCGACCCGCTCTTGGCCGTCACCGTGGCCGAGGTTTTGGGGACCTCCTTCCTCCTGGCGCGGGGCGGCGACGGGGCCGCGCTGGGACCCGGCGGCTGCTGGGACGACGTGGACGACCCCCAAAACTACACCCTGACGGGCCCCCCGAGCCCCCTGCCCGACGCCGTGGCCAACGGGGCGATGGACGGGGCGGTCCTGGGTGCCCGCCTGGCCCGGGAGCCCGCCCCGCTCGCCGAGCTCCTGCGGGGCTACTACGGGACGGGCAACGGCTCGGACAGGGGGAGACCCCCCAGCAGCTACAGGCGGCGGGATTTCGGGGCGCTGGCGGGGCCGGGGAAGCTGGAGGAGGAGGTGGTGGCCGTGCTGGAGCTGCTGAGGGTCCTGCCCCCCACGCGGGGGCTGCTGGAGGGCGTGGGGACCGACGAGGTGGCGGCGGTGGCCCGGAGAGCGGCGGGGGAGTTCACCCGGCGCTACGTGGGTACGGGGGGGGAGGGCGCCGGGTGGGGTCGGGAGAGCTTCGGGCCCCCCGAAATTGGGGGGGAGGGGGAGGGGGAGGTGGACCCCGGGTGGGGTTGGGGTCCTCTGGGGTCCTCTGGGGTGGGGGGCACTGAGGGGAGGCAAGAGAGGAGAGCTGAGGGGTCGCACGTGGCCGGGGGGGGGGGGAGAGCACCATGGACCCCGGGTGGGCACCTCTGTGTCCTCTGGGTGGGCACCACTGTGTCCCCTGGGTGGGCACCACCATGTCCCCTTGGTGACCACCACCCTGTCCCCTGGGTGGACATCACTGTGTCCCCTGGATGGCCACCACCACATCCCCCGGATGGCCTCACCACGTCCCACCCAAGGGACCCCCAGAGCAGACACTTCCCCCCCTGCCCCCAGGAGGACACATCCGTGTCTGTGCCAGGGGGTTCCTCAGCTGGGCAGGTGCTCCATGCCCCCCTGTCCCCAAGACCCCATCACCGTGCCCCCAAGGGGTTCCTCAGCTGGGCAGGTGCCCTGTGCCCCCCTGTCCCCAAGACCCCATCACCGTGTCCCCAAGGGGTCCCTCAGCTGGGCAGACACCCTGTGCCCCCCTGTCCCCAAGACCCCATCACTCTGTCCCCAAGGGGTTCCTCAGCTGGGCATACAGCCCGTGCCCCCCTGTCCCCAAGGGGTTCCTCAGCTGGGCAGGTGCCCCCCTGTCCCCAGGACCCCACTACCATGTCCCCAAGGGGTTCCTCAGCTGGGCAGACACTCTGTACCCCCCTGTCCCTGAGACCCCACCACCGTGTCCCCAAGGGCCTGGCTGAGTGCCCCTGTGCCCCCCTGTCCCCAAGACCCCTCTGCTGTGTCTTCAAGGGGTTCCTCCACTGGGCAGGTGCCCTGTGCCCCCCCAGACCCCACCACCATGTCCCCAAGGGGTTCCTCAGCTGGGCAGGTGACCCCCTGTCCCCAGGACCCCACTACCATGTCCCCAAGGGGTTCCTCAGCTGGGCAGACACCCTGTGCCCCCCTGTCCCCGAGACCCCTCCACTGTGTCCCCAAGGGCCTGGCTGAGTGCCCCTGTGCCCCCCTGTCCCCAAGACCCCACTGCCACGATCCCAAGGGGTTCCTCCACTGGGCAGGTGCCCCCCTGTCCCCAAGACCCCCCCGCCGAGGGCCCGGCTGAGCGTCCCTGTGCCCCCCAGAGTGCCCGACCATCGTGCCCCGCTGCATGTGGGGGGCCCGCCCGTACCGGGGCACCCCCAGCCTGCTGAGCCTCCCGCTGGGCTCTGTGTTCATCCACCACACCCTGGAGCCGGGCACCCCGTGCCGCTCCTTCCGCGCCTGCGCCCGCGCCATGCGCAGCATGCAGAGATTCCACCAGGACACCCGCGCCTGGGACGACATCGGATACAGGTGCCTGACACCCCCCGGGGCCCCAGAACCCCCTCTGGGACCTGGAACCCTCCCTGGGACCCAGAACCCTCTGTGGGATCGGGAACCCTTCTGGGGACATGGAACCCTCTGTGGGACCCAGAACCCTCTGTGGGATCTGGAACCTTTCTGGGGACTTAGAACCCCCCTCCGGGACCTGGAATCCTCCCTGGGACCCAGAACCCTCTGTGGGACCTGGAACCTCCCCTGGGACCTGGAATGCCCCTGGGACCTGTCACACCCCACAGTCCCCATGACTGTTCCCCCTCGGTCCCGACACTGTCCCCTTTTGGTCCCATCACTGTCCCCCCATTGTCCCCATCACTGTCCCCCCCACTCCCCACCACTGTCCTCCCTCAGTCCCATCACTGTTCTCCATTGATCCCAGCACTGTCCCCATCACTGTCCCCCCTCAATCTCCACCACTGTCCCCCTTCAATTCCCATCCTTGTGCCTCCTCAGTCCCCAGCACTGTCCCCCCTTGGTCCCACCACTCTCCCCCCTCAGTCCCCATCCCTGTTCCCCCCTCAGTCTCCATCACTGTCCCCCAGTTGTCCCCACCACTGTCCCCATCACTGTCCCCTCTTGGTCCCATCACTGTCCCCCTTCAATTCCCATCCCTGTCCTCCTCAGTCCCCATCACCGTCCCCCCACTTTCCCCACCACTGTCCCCCCCATCCCCATCACTATCCCCCCCATCCCCAGCAGTGACCCCCCATTGTCCCCATCACTGTCCCCTCTTGGTCCCATCACTGTCCCCCCTCAATCCCCACCAGTGTCCCCCCTCAGTCCCATCACTGTCCCCCCATTGTCCCCACCACTGCCCCCCCTCAGTCCCCACCACTGTCCCCTCTTGGTCCCATCACTGTCCCCTCTTGGTCCCGTCACTCTCCCCCCTCAGTCCCCATCCCTGTCCTCCTCAGTCCCATCACTGTCCCCCATTGTCCCCACCAGTGTCCCCCCCATCCCCATCACTGTCCCCCCTCGATCCCCATCACTGTCCCCCATTGTCCCCATCACTGTCCCCCATTGTCCCCACCAGTGTCCCCCCCATTCCCCATCCCTGTCCCCCGTGGTGTCCCCGCAGCTTCGTGGTGGGCTCGGACGGGTACCTGTACGAGGGCCGGGGGTGGCACTGGGTGGGCGCCCACACCAAGGGCTACAACACCCGAGGCTACGGGGTGGGCTACGTCGGGGACTTCTCGGCCGCCCTGCCGGACCCCGACACGCTGGCCCTGGTGCGGGACGAGCTCCTGCCCTGCGCCGTCCGCGCCGGGCACATCCTACACAACTACACCCTGCACGGGCACCGCCAGCTCGGCCACACCGACTGCCCCGGCAACGCCCTCTTCCAGGAGATCCAGGGCTGGCCCGGCTTCCAGGTGACACCCCACGGCCGGGGGACACCCCATGGGGGTGGCGGGGGGTCGTTGGGGTGATGCTGGGACTGACGGTGGTTCCTGTCCCCTCCCCAGTGAGGAGCAGCCTGAGGGGCCTGGAATGGACGGGGAGGTTGGATCCTGGGCTGGATGGATGCTGGACCGGTGGGGAGGGGCTGGATGGACCCTGCTCCGGTGGATGTCGGTCCCGTGGATGCCGGGTGGATCCTGGTCCAGATGGACACCAGTCCCAGGGATCCCAGATGGATCCTGATCCAGACGGACACCAGTCCCAGGGATCCTGATCCAAATGGACACCAGTCCCGTGGGTCCCAGATGGATCCTGATCCAGACAGACACGTGCCATGGATCCTGATCCAGATGGACACCAGTCCCATGGATGTCAGATGGATCCTGATCCAGATGGACACCAGTCCCATGGATCCTGATCCAGATGGACACCAGTCCTGTGGATCTCAGATGGATCCTGATCCAGGCGGACATGTGCCA